GGGCATGGTGGTGCATGTGTGTAATCTCAGCTCTTAGGAGGCTGTAAATAGGTGGATCTGTACGAGTCTGATTTAGTAGTGAGACCCTGAACATCCTGTAGACTCTTCCCTAAAATACAAAAAAAAAAGAAAGAAAGGAAAATATAAGTAGGACTGGGGATGTAGATCAGTGGTAGAGCATGTATCTAACATGTGTGAGGCTCTGGGTTCAACCCCACCCCCAAAAAGGAAAAAAGTCTTAAGGAATGGATAAATAGATAACAAAGTATCTGTTATAGACACGATGCAGCCATTAAAAATAATGTTTTTTGTTTGATATATAGTGAAAACATACTAAGGGAGGAAAACAGTTTCACAACTAAGTATAATAATCTTTTATGCACAGCTCTGTGCTTACACACATCATGCTTGTGTATAGATGTTTGGAGGAAGATGTCACAGTGTTACTGAAAATTATCTAGATTTTGTAGGAGATACTAGTACTGTTGTTATTAATTTTTAAAAAGTAATGACTAGAAATAGTAGCCAATAGAAGTAATGTACAGTTTTTTTTTTTTTTTGGTTTTGATGGGAGGAGGAGGTAATGTTTTAGGAAATTGATGAAGTTTTTTAGTGATGGGAAACAAAGCCACATGGACTTTTCCTGTGACTTACTGGAATTTCTGTCAACCACGGGTATAGAGGTTGAAGCTTCACAATGCCTTATATAAGCAACCATGTTTGACTTTTTCCCCATAATTTTATTGAGAAACAAATAGCAATGAGACAATTTCAAATCAAATTGGTAGGACAGTTCCAATAATTAACACATTGCATATTTACTTCCTAGTGGTTATTTGCTGTACGAGATGCAGACATGATATCCTATTTATAAGCACTATTAGAACAAATCCCTCTATTCATTAAGAGAATGTGACTATATATCTGTCCTAATCATTTTGAATACACAGATACAAAATAGACATTCATCTGTATCCCCTTTTTTTGTTTACTTCCGTCATTTGAATATTATAGGTAACTCAGTAGTATCCTAAATTTTCTGATCAAGGAGATTATGGGGCCAAAGAGGAAAGTGATCGATGATGTAGAGTGTGCCTAAGGAGAGGCACATGGAGAGAAA